CACTGAGGCTGACAGATTCTCTCACTCCTGTGCAGGATCAGCACTCCTCATAGGATTTCTCCAGTTTGACTTCAATCTAAAATTCACCTCTCTATCTAATTTTTTGGAGACAGGGTCTCCCTGTAGTATAGGCTGACCCAGAACTGGCTATGTAGACCAGGCTGGCCTCAGTCTCTCAGAGATCCACCTGTCTCTGCCTCCATAGTGCTGAGATTGAAGAGGTACATCTCACCACACCCAGTCCCCTCAATCTGGCTTTTAAAAATGTCTCCCTCAAATTAAGAGGTTTTAATGGAAAACACAGAAAGCATGTGACTGTGTGCATGTGCGTGTGTGTGTGTGTGTGTGTGTGTGTAAGAGAGAGAGAGAGAGAGAGAGAGAGAGAGAGAGAGAGAGAGGGAGTTGCTGACACCGGAACCCAGGGTCATGTACATGCTAGGCTAGCATTCTACCACCAAGATACCCCTCAGACCCAGACTTCCAATCTTTGGATTTTGGCTGATCCGTCACCTCTGTCTCAGATGCCTGGGTTTTTGGAATCACAATACGGATCACGAACCGTAACCTGACGGACCAGCTTCTCAACTGCAGCAGTGAGGCATTCCTGAACTTTTCCCGAGAGCTGCTTCATGAGGTAATGGGAATTCGGACCACTGGCCTGCCTTTGAGTCCTTAGACTGAGGATGGACGCACGTGTGCACACCCACACAACCCCCCCCAGGAGGCCACGCCCCCATCACACAGTAATCCCTCCACTCCTCTCACGGGGTGGCAGACCTCCACACTGGGGCAATCCACCCTCAGGTAAGTAAGTATCTCAGGTCAAATGACTGTGCGGCTCGACTTGCTGGGAAGTTTCTGCCCTAGACTCTGATGTCCTGTGCTGGTGCCGCTTTCCAAGCACAGGATCTGCTGCAAATCTCAGCTTCTGTTTGCTGCTCCCTATGGAAACAGAAGATGTGAGAGCATCCCGCCTGGGGAGCTGAGCCAGTGTTCACTGTCTACCCTGGGTGCTAGGATAGAGGAAAGGCTGACCACCTCAACTGCCCAGTTTATCTTTGGCAAATGACGAGCTAGCTTACTGTAGAGTCACACCGGCAGAAGACACCAGGTTCCTGGGTCAGAGACAGAGTCCCTGTCACTTCCACACAGCTGGTGGCCCAAGAATTACACAGGGCTGGTCCCATCTTACTCCTCCTCCCAGGGGAGCCCATGCAGGGGCTGTGTCTCAGCTGAGGACCCCTGGGCTTCGGGAGCCCAAATCTTTTACAACATGCTGCAGGCAAACCACCTAAACCTTGCTCCAGAGGGGAACAATTTGCTATGTTGGATGGCAGAAGGAACCGCCTTTTGCTCTGGAAGGAGCCACCATCCCGAAGTCTCTAGGCCACTCACCCTATCAGCCTCCTTGGAAAGAGTCTGGAACGAATGGACCTGAGGCGTTCTACTTGCAGGGTGTTTAGACATGCCAGATGGAGGAGGGGGTGTTGCCCCTGATATCTGCCTGCAGGGGGAGCAGATCTTTATTTGGAGAAATGAGGGTCTTACTCTATAGGCTAGGCTTGCTTGGAACTCACCATGTAGCTCACTGGGCAGACCTTGAATCCTCCTGCCTGAGCCTCCAGGAGCACCTTCAAGGTTCTTAGAGAACCCTTTCCCCAGTATTAATCCCTGTGCTCATGGATGAGTGGTAGGAAGGTTGAAGCCAGGCTGTCTTCTTCCCAGTAAGGAAGGGACAGCCACCAGGAGTTACGGAGACCATACTGCCCCTCCCCGTTAGTTCATCAAGCAAGCTGGAAGCCTGTCTCTCGCTTACATGTGCACATTCCTTACCCATTTCTAGGAGGACTAAGAGGTCCATTTGATGCCTGTGGCTGGTGGCTTGGTTGTACTGGGTGCTGTGGGGATTCCCACTGTCCCAGGGAGAGCCGGGTGGGCCCCATGGCTGGATGGGTGTCTCTGTGTTCTGTCTAAGCAGCTGTGACCTTCTCCTGGCTAGGTGGAAACTGCCTTTCCGCCGGCAATTTCTGACCTGTCCAGTCGTGGGAAGCTGAGACTACAGCTCGTGAACCTGCAGGCAGGGAGCCTGGTGGTGACACTTAGACTCACCCTGCAAGACCCCGAGTTCCCAGTGGGCGTCTCCATGCTGAAGCCCATACTCCAGCTTCTGTCTGCAAGCACCGTGTTCCAGGTGGACCAGCAGGGGACGACAGTACAAGGTTTGTCTCCCTCTGGCAGGGTGTGCCTCCAGCTCACAAGTAGCCCAGGCAGCAGTAGTCGGAGCCAATCTTTTCCTTATCTGAAGGGCAAATGAAGTAAAATGTAAACCTTATCCTGGCTTCCTCCACGGGAAACAAGGGCCAGTGGTTGCGACTCCCCACTGTTTTAGGCTGCAGAAGGCACCCTGGGGTGGGCTCAGCTCCTTGGCCGCAGGTCCAGAACACTGAGTGAAAGGGTTTGAGGGTTCATGTAGGGGAGGGTATGGGGGCTCCCTTTGTCTTGTGGCGAGGGCTCAGCACTGTGGAATATCTATCAACCTTGTGGCCTGTTCACCTGCAGATCTGCTTGATCAGCCCTAGTGCTGACTCGCTTTGAGACAGAAGGTTCTCACACTGGGCACTGGACTCTGGGTCTAAGAGACCCAGGCCTCATCCCCAGGAAGGCTGTCCGCACTCAGGAAGACTTTCATCCCTTCCCTTGTGTTTCCTGACCAGCCTGGGCACTTTCTCACTAATTCTGCGTCCTCCTCTCCTCACAGACTGGGATGAGTGTGCGCATAGCTCAGAGCACGACTGCTCCCCAGATGCCCGGTGCATCAACCTGGAGGGATTCTACACCTGTCAGTGCCTCACAACCAGGGATGCCAACCCCTCCCGGGCTGGCCGGGTCTGCAAAGGTGCGTGTCCCCTGCCCTGTTCTGGGGCCTGGGATGGGAGGGCCGGCTTCACCAGGCATAGTGCTGAGGGCCACAGTAATGCAAGGGCCCACGGAAATATTTCCATTTCCATTTAAATTCAGGAGGAATGAATGTACGGTAAATATATCTAACAGCGAGTGTTTCCATTGCTCTTTATCTCAAGGCAATATCATTAAATCGTAAAATATAATTTAAGTAGATTATTTTTATGGAGAGTATAAAGGTCCATGGAAATGCAGTACCTCAGCCTTATGAAAGTCCCCAAGCACATCCAGGAGGGAGGAGTCCTCCCCAGGTGGCCTCAAGACTGGGAGAGTATAGAAGTCCGGTGTGCTGGAGGAGGGCCCCTCTGGGGGGCCCCTGAGCCCTGGTCCTACCATGCCTGTGCCTCCAAGTCTCTTAGAGAAGCAGGAGGAAGCCACTGGCAGATATTTGGTGCTGTGGCTGATTTGTCGTGTCTGCCCTGGGAGTATGCTGGAGCATAGGAGGGGCTTAGCTCCTACTTGCCCTCCCGTGGTAAGACTTGGCTGGGGGAAGGAGTACTGGGGACTGTTTGCCAAGGTTTCATAAGCATTTTGTGCATTGTCTTCTATCCCTGCAGTTTGTCTCCTTTTTTTCTTTTCTTTTGTATGTGTGCATGTGTGTACATGTGGGAAGTGCACGTGTGTGTGTATGTGTGTGCACGCACATGCATGTAGAGGCCAGATGTCAACCTTGGATGTCATTCCCTAGTTCACTGATTAGGGCTAGACTGTTTTGTCAGTGAGCCCCAGGAATCTTCCTGTCTCTTCCTCCCAAGAGCCTGGGTTACATGTGCATAGCACAATGTTCATGTTTGTTTTTAAGATTTTACTTATATTCTGTGTATATGTGTGTGTTTGTGTGAGGCATGTACATGTGGGTGCAGATGCCCGTGGAGGCCAGAAGAGGGTGTCAGATTGCTGGAACTGGAGGTTTTTTTTTGACTTTTAGCCAAGAAACTGGCTACTTTTCTTTGGGGTCTTTTTACCCTAACTGCCTAGCCAATTCCTACCTCCTATTCTTATCACACCATCCTCTGAAGGGGTTACTCATATTGCCAATAGGGAATCAGGACGCACACTGCTCTGGCTACTTCCATGCTGAACAGGGATGCGGATGAGGCAATTGGGGTATCCCTCCAGTGGGTCTGTCTAAAAGACTCCCAAGTTGCATAACTCTTACCTATAGGGGGAAAAGAAAGTCCTTGACTGGTGAATAGGAGAAGTAAAGGCAAGAGTAATTAGCGTTACAAGTTCTAGACAGGGAACTAGAAAAAAAGTCAGAACAGGGCAAATTTCAAATGTTCATATCAGAGTCCACTGGGATTTCTTGATGAGAACTTCCAAAAGCATCCCTCTGTTGGGTTCCTGCTCATTTCTCTTTTGTTTGCCAAGGCTGGACTGGAGAGCGATGGACTCAGGATTTGTTTCAGGCACTTTGATAGCGCTGATAGCTGTTGTGTCAGTGGAACTTGAGTTTTACAATGTGTTATAAGCTGCTCATGTGGGTGCTGGGAACAAACTTCCTCTGGAAGAGCAGCAGGAGCTCCCAACCACTGAGTGTCCCTCCAGCTCCCAACCACTGAGTGTCCCTCCAGCTCATGCGTTCTGGGGATTGAACTCAGGTCTTTGGGCTCACACAGTGAGCACTGTAAAGTGAGCACTTTACTGACTGAGCTAGCCCCCCAGCCTGCCTTGTGCTTTTCTTATCCACTAGTTAGCACCTCTGAGAGGCCTGTGTCCATGCTTGGGACCCCATGGGGCGTGGGGACCACATTTTATGTGGTGATGTCTTTCTCTGGTGAGGGCTCTTGCTGGATGAAGTCTGATGAGCCTTGCTAGCTGCTCCTGGCATCTGACAGTAAATATGTCTTGCAGGTGACATGGTGACCCCCACAGGAGGTGGGCTGTCTACAGCAACCAGAGTCACAGCCCCAGCTGTCAGCGTGGGAGCCACAGCCCTTGGCTCAGAGACCTTCACCTTATCCTCAAGCCCCAGGAACCCACAGAATACCCCAAAAGGAGCTCAGGCCCAGACTCCAGGGCCCCCACCCAGAAGAGGGGGCATTAGCACAGTGGGGCAGGGGAGGAACGGCACAGGTCAAGGTATGGAGGTGTTCAGCATGGCCCCGAGCCTGGGAACAGGTCATGAGAGTAGCAGTGGGGTGGCCAGTTCCTCCTCCAGGGCTCCAGGACCAACCCATGGCTCCTGGACCACAGATGGCCCACTGGACACTCCTGGGCAGTTACAAGGAGACTCTACCACAGACCCATCCTTCTGGCCTGCCCTGACCAAAGGCCCCACAGACCATGTTGTGTGGCATCCCAGCATCCCCACTCAGGAGACACCTCTGAACTCTACAAGACTGCAGAATGAGGGTCCCCCACCATCCTCTTTCCCAGGCCTGCCATCAGTCCCAACCCCTGTGGCTCCAGAGCCCTCTGCCTGTGGTAAGTCATCAAGGGGGCAGGGACTTCATGAACCCTCATGTCAGAACTGCAGTCCTTTCCTGTCAAGCATGAGGACCTAGGCACAGAGCTGTGTGGTCCTGATCTAGTTAGGGAGAGAAAAGGCCCCCCTTTCATCCCTAACCCTCTACTCACGTCCTAAGGATCCTTACCTTGCAGCAGCTGGGGCAGAGGATGGGCAGGGGAGTGGGAGGAGCCTTGGGGGAGTGTGTGTGCCATCGGGCCCTGAAGCAGGATTCCCCAACAAACCTACAACCTCTAGCAGTACTGTACACGTGGTCCAGCTCAGCTGCCCTGGACGCTCAGCCCTGTTGAAACCCCAGCAGTTATGCACTGCAGATGTCTGTCCTCCCACCGTCTATACCCAGCGGTGTGCACCTCAGTTGTCTACACCCCACAGCTGTGCTGCAACCCCTGGCAGATCCATGTGGTACATAAACAGTTTAACCATCACCAAATCCTGGGGACACCCAGAAGCGAGTGGCGGCTCCCAGCAGCAGACAGCCAAGGCTGTGACCACTCACAGAGCCTGACTGGTAGCTTCTTTGTGAGTTTGTAGAGCTGTGAATTTTGCTCAGTCAGAACCACTGTCAAGTGTGAGTTCTCCATGTTTCCTCTGGGGCACAGCAGGGGCTCCAGGACCCAGTTTGCCAACCCGTGTACACCAGGATTGTTCCACCAACTGTCAGTGACTTCCCTGTCAGACTGACTCTCGGGCCAGTCATAGCAATGGCTGAGCCCAGGACACCCACACAGGGTTAAGCAGACAGGCTTATGAAGCAGTCACCTAGAGCCAGCTGAGGAGGGGTGGTTGGAACAGCCGGGGACCTCAGGGCCAGATCCAAACCATCCTTTGAACAAAACATAGCTGGGAACTGATCCCTGGAAGCCCAGGCTAGGGGCCTACAAGGCCCCCTCACAGGGGCATCATCTCTGCGGGACGACATTCCAGTGTGCCCCGTGTCTGGCATTACCCTGCCTCTGCTGTAGACTGAGTGCCGTTGCCCACAGAGGGCAACTTTATATGTAGGGATTGATTTTTATGTCCGGCTTTCTGCTTCACTTCCTAGTTCCCGGCCCCATTGGAAGGGTCACGGTCTCCAACGTGACCCACACCAGCTTTCACCTGGGGTGGTCAGTGGGCCTCAACCCGTCCCCCACCTTCTACCTAACCCTGGTGTCTCCCCGCGGGCCTGCCATGAACATGGAGACCCAGGACAGGAATGTGACCCTGTCGGGGCTGGAGCCTGGAGTCTTGTACCTCGTAGAGATCGTGGCTAAGGTGTGTGGGAGAGAAGGTGCCGGCACGCACCTGAAAGTGCGGACAGGTAAGGGCTTCAGGGCTGCGTCACCGCTTATCAGTGGGATGAGCAGGAAAGAATCAAAGAGATTTTCATGTGTAAAGGTTGGACAGAGCGAGGTCTGTGTGCAGGCTGCTGGGTTTTCAGCACAAGTACATCTGGTTTACTTTATGGGAAGGGGCGGGTGGCAGCAGGATCACGTGATGGCACAGCCCCCCCCCGCCCCCCCCCCGTCACTTGGGAGTTGGTCCTTTCCAGAGTTGTATATAATTAAATCGAATCCCCCCTTTCTTCTCGTTAGCACCTGACACCTGCTATTTTCTCAGCATATAACTTAGCTAGGTTTGTAACATTATAGGACATCTTCACATCTCAAGGAGCTTCCCAAATACTGGGTGCTGTGTCTCCCAAGTTGGGGCTACAGTCCTTGGGTGATGCTGAAGATGATCTATTGGGTTTCAGTAAGGACAGTTTAGAGTTTTTTTTAATTATATAAAGTATTTACTTTTATGGGCATGAGTGTTTTGTCTACATGTATGTAAGTGCACCCATGCCGTGCAATGCCCATGGAGGCCAGAAGAGGGCGTTGGATCCCCTGGAACTGGATTCCTCTGGAAGAGCAGCCAGTGCTCTTAACCACTGAATCATCTCTCCAGCACTCCAGTTTAGAGTTTTAACTTGTGTATTTAAAAATATATTTTTTAATTTATTTATTGTTGTGTAAGTGCACCCATGTCACGCAATGCCCACGGAGGCCAGAAGAGGTTGTCAAATCACCTGGAACTGGAATTACAGTTTTTTGGCCTCCATGTGGGTGCTGGGAATCAAACCTGGGTCCTTTGGAAGTGCCATCAGTGCTCTCAACTGCTGAGCCATTCCAGTCCCTAACTTGTATATTTTTAAGTACAGATGAGCCTCACACTGGAAATTAGAGAACAGTGTGTGGCGATGCTAAAATTGTGCAAGCTCGTGGCCAGCTCGAGGATGGGCATGTTGGTGCTGGCTGGACGGTCAGGCAGGGAAGCTCCTGAGTCTGAGTGAGGGTGGGCCTCTGAAGTCTCCCTCACTCTGGAAGGGATGAGCTGTCCATGGGCACGTGACCCTGTGCCTGAGGAAAGGCTTCCTGCTCTAAGCTGTGCTCCTGTCCTGCCTCTGCTGGCTTTTGGATCAGGTTGCAGGTGCCACTGGCCATGGTCCTGGCCGTCAGGCACGAAGACCGTAATGACTCCAAGGGCATGAGGTTTGGGATTCAGCAGGAATGTGTTGTGGCATGGCCTTGTGCTTTGTCTTGGGATGAAGTGAGATGCTCTTGGGGGACCTGCTTGAAGACCCAGGAGAACGTGCTATTCTCCCTCACTTCCCAGAGGCCCCTGCATGTCGCAGATGTTCAGTGAAGGATGGACTAGGATAGAGGCCACTGTGCCCAAAACCAGGGTGTGGCTGGGAAATTCCTGGACCACATTCATGTCCCACCTGCTCCTAGAAGCCCCACAGAGCAAAGATGCACAGCCAACAAAGCGACTGTCCTCAGACCACAGAGAGGTGGGGCTGTAGGGCAGAAGGGCTGACTGAACAGGCCCCCATCAAGGAGTGGGCTCTGCACAGAGGCTGGCCGTGAGCCCATGTCCAGGTTCGGCCAGCCCACGTCCAGGTTCAGTCAGTCCATGTCCAGGTTCGGCCAGCCCATGTCCAGGTTCGGTCAGTCCATGTCCAGGTTTGGCCAGCCCATGTCCAGGTTCAGTCAGTCCATGTCCAGGTTTGGCCAACCCATGTCCAGGTTTGGCCAGCCCATGTCCAGGTTTGGCCAGCCCAAGTCCAGGTTCGGCCAGCCATGCTGTGGCCCTGCTTGTGTAATGGTGCCTCACTCCTTCCCAAGCTGCCCGGGTTTGCTGGCCAGTTGCCTGCACTATAATGAATTCCCCGTGGGGAGAGCTGTAGGCGCTTGGCTGACCCTGGTGGTTCTCCCCTGGTAGGCCCTGCTGATGGGCAGCAGTCAGTGCTCCTCTTCCTGGAACCTGACAGGTCAGCTTCAGCTTGATGTTCACAGAGCCAACCCAGACCCTGAAATGACAGTCTCTGACCTCATGAATTCTCCATCCTGCAGCGGCCCAGAAACTCACCGGCAAAGTCCAGATAGCAAACATCCAGTATTCAGAATCCTTCCGCAATGCCAGCAGCAAGGAATATCAGGACTTCCTAGAGCTGTTCTCCAGGATGGTGAGTTGCAACAGTCAGTCCTTACTTCCTGGGAAGAAAGGAAGGAGGGTAGATGGATTCTAGATGCTTCCAACTAAAAATTAGACTCACCAGTTCTATGAGCGTCTCATTTTTGGAAGAGGCTGGGATAGAGCTGCAGCAGGTCTGGGCACCGGGACTACGTGACAGAGGTCTGTCTGGAGGTGGTGGGAAGGACACCTTTCCCCCACCCACCTTGCTTCAAGCTCTGTGGAGCAGAAAGTCCCTCTATATTTAACTAAGTACTGAAACAGGGCCTGGGTGGTGCAGGCTTGTCTTCCCAGCCACCCAGGACGCTGAGGTAAAAGGATCTCAAGTTCAAAGACTGTCTGGGCTTCAGAATGAGTTCAAGGTCAGCCTGGACAACTTACTGAGATGATGTGACCCTGTCTCAGAATTTTTAAAAAAGCAAGAGAGCTGGGGATATAGGCCAGTGTTACAGTGTTTACCTAGTATGCACCAAGCCCTAGGTTCAGTCCCCAGTAATACATATGCACAGACGTGTGTATGTGTACACATACATTTATACACACACACACACACACACACACACACACACAGAACCCATACAAAACTGAGATCTGGGGCTGTCAATATGACTCAGAAGATAAAGGCACTTGCAACCAAGTTGGATATCTGAATTCAATTCCCTAGACAAGAGAATGAGTTATGACTCCCATAAGTTGTCTTCTGACTTCCACATCTCCCTCCCTCTCTCTCTCTCTCTCTCTCTCTCTCTCACTCACACACACACACACACACACACAAACAGAAAAAAAATCAAGACCTATTTCAGATACATAAAAATTTAAAGTGGGGCTAGAGAGATTGCTCAGTGGTTAAGAGCTCTGGCTGCTCTTGCAGAGGACCCAGGTTCGGTTTGCAGCACCCCTATGGTGGCTAAAAACCATCCATAACGTCAGTTCCAGAGGATCGAACACCCTTTTCTAACCTCCGAAGGTATTGCATGACATGGGTGCACATACACACACGCAGGCAATACACTCATATACATAAAATAAAAATTTTTTAAATGTAAAGTGTAAAATTTAATTTATGTGACATTTGAAAAAATCTGCAACTAACATGGCCATCCAGTTATCCAGTTCCAGAACATTAGCTACTTTCAAAGGAAACTGTGTACCCATCGCAAATGTCCTCCTCTGCCCTGCCCCAGCCCCTGGACCACTAATGACATGTTGGGTCTGCTTCTCACTTTGCTTAATGTGTTCCAGGTTCATCCATGTTTTCTCACACATCTGCACTCCATTCCTTTTGATGGGTGGACACTATTCCAGTGTGCACTCTGTTGGTCCATTATTCACTGGTGGATGGTCAGCTTCCTTCGTTCATTGTCCATTCCGCTCCCACCTGTGTCTTTTCCCTGCCGTCCTCCAGCACACTTTGGAAAATGACATTCTTAACAAAGCAGTAGGAGTAACAACCCTCAACCGCTGGTGGTATCGCATCATCATTAATTATTATTAGTGAGGCAGGGTCTTGTGTATCCCAGGCTAGCCTCAAACTCTCTAGGTAGCCAAGGATGACCTTGAACTCCTGATCTTCTTGATTCTTCCTTCTGAGTTCTGGGATTACAGGTGTGCACCACCAGATGTGGTTTATATGGTGTTCCAGATGACACCTAAGCGAGCTAAGCGAGCACTCTACCAGCTGAACTACAGCCCCAGCCCCGTATTACATTTTTTTAAAGTATAGAGAATGCACTTACTACTATTTAGTGACCTTATTTACCTAGTGGAAATGTTTACCTTTAGTTTTTCCTTAAACGGGGGTTTAAGACCTAGATTAGAGAGGGTTTGTCAGCGCCACCTAGCGTTCAGTGTGATGATACAAAGGTGTGTCCTAAAGCTGGTGGCAGTAGGTCCAGTTCTGTTCCATTCAGTCCATGGACACCACCCCCTGATGGAATGGACCGTGGTACCCCCAGGAGCTGTCCCTGTTGAGCTCCTTGGGGATCTGAAGCCCTGCCTTGCTTATCTGGATTCCCAGTTTCTCCCAGCGCCTGAATCCAAGAGTCCTCAGTGGTTGGATTGATAATGTGGGTCACAGCCTCCCTTCAGAGAAATGACAGTTGGTGTGGTATTAAGTAACAGGTGCTTAGCCCTTCTACATGCCTCTGGTGGCTAACTGGAGCGGCTCCGTCTCCATCCCAAGCTTCTACATTAGTCTTTTAATGCATTTCCTCTTTGGCCCATTTTTAGATAGTTGTGTTTTTGTTTGTCTAGAATCTCAGGATAGAAAACAGTTGTGTGGCTGTAATATCCAAAAGACGCCAAGGCCGGTTCTGGAGGTGGTGGGCTAATGGCTTCTCATTCCCTAGCAGGGTCTAGAGCTTTGTCTGGAGACTACTTTGAAATGGTGACATTAATCCCAAACTATGACAGATCTCTCAGGGGTGGGGTGAGAGGCACTGACTGCTAAGGTAATGCAGCTGACTGAGCCAACCAAGGACAGCTGAGGGTCTGGCTGGAGTCGGGGATGCTAAGCCTCTGAAAAACCATGGACCTGTTTGCCTTGTGTGGCCCAGAGGTGTCCCCAAGAGCCAGGCTTTGAGACATGGCCCCTAATGGGTTTCTCTGACCATCCCTCAAGGTGCCTTTTCCAAGGGTGATTTTTGAACCGCATGGGATGCTAAGGCTCACTGTAAGAGCATGTGTCTTTCAGGGCTGGAGTGGATGGATGTAGTCCCTGACACAAGACTCTGTCTGAAGGGACAGAGAACAAAACAAGCCTTTCAGAGGCAGGAACTGTCCATCCTGATAAGGTTGCTGCAGACATGGCCTGGGGACAGGAGGGGAGGAAGAACAGGGAAATATTCTGCAGCGTCAGGGGCAAAGGAAAGTTCTAGAAAATCAAAGGGAGCAGGTGATCGTCTTCCGTAGGACCACTCATTCAGCCCGCTGCCTCCCCTAGCTCTGAGCTAAGGGCAGCTGGCTGTAACTGCCACTGTGAACCTCCGTGTTACAGGCCTTTGAGTGTGGGATCCCTGCCGTGCATTGCCCCCGTTCAACCTGCAGACAGGTCTCTGTAGCTGTCTGCTGCTTTTTGGGGGAGAGGGCCCCTCAGTGTCACGGGCACCTGCAAGTGTTAGTGCTGGGCTTTCAGACCCCACAGACAGGGAAGGGCAAAACATAATCTGGGACTTGGACCCAGCTGTGCTGCTAGGCAGAACCCCAGGAGGATTTGTTCTTAGAACAAATAACCTGTGACCTGACTTCTCTCGTGGCCTGTTTCTCTAAGGTGCGGGACTCCTTGCCAGCCATGCTGCGTCAGCATATGGACACAGGCAGGATCAGAGTGGATGTCACTGGCATCACCAACGGCAGCATCGTGGTGGAGTTTGATCTGTTAATAATCGGGGACCTGGATGTCAGGGAGGCATCTGCCGCCTTCCTCGCTGCCTTACAGAACACGTCTGTGCTGGAGGTGGTCAGAGGCGACACCGTCCTACACGGTATGCAAGGGCTGGCATTGAGAGTGGCCGCTCCAAATTCTGGAACCAGAGGCAGCAGGAGACCAGTAGTGGCCTCAGTCAGGAAGATGTACCCGGAGCCTCCTCTTGGGGCCTCCCAGGAGCTGCAGGTGGAGCGGGTGGGGCCTTCACACCTGCCTTACTACTTACCTGTCACAGTTACTGTTAAACATTGAACGGTCAGTGGTCTTGGGGATGCCCCTCCCCTGTCACCCCATGCTTTGGTGGCAGCCAGACTGTCCAAGGCATGGTTGCCATGGAGATCCTAGCAAAAGAGCTAGTGAGGAAAAGCAAGGAGAGGAAGGCGACTTAGAACCCCCATAAAAGGACTGAAAACTGACTTATCAATAGATTTTAAAAGTGTTTATTCATTTTTAGTGTGCGTGCATGTGTGTGCACGTGTGTGTGTGTAACCACTGAGCCATCTCTCCAGCCCATAGGTAGATTTTTTTTTAAAGTTAAGACTACGGAGCTGGAGAGATGGCTCAGCGGTTAAGATCACTGACTGTTCTTGCAGAAGACCTGGGTTCAAATCCCAGCACCCACAAATGCCAGCTAACAACTGTCCATAACCCCAGTTCCAGGGGATCCGACAGCCTCTTCTGTCCTCCGTGGGCATTGCATGACACAGGTGCACTTACCTATATGCAGACAATACATGCATACACATAAAATAAAAGTAATAAAATATTAAAAATGTTAAGACTTTACAATTGAAGATTAATGGTTTTTTAAAATTAGTTTGGGGAATAAGGATTTCCCAAAGAAAATCAGGCATTCAGAGGAAAAGGCTGAAATTCTTGACTTTCTAAAACTATAAAATCTCTTATGTCAAGCAGAGTACAGTTACCATTAAAGAGACAATAGGGAAAAACCCTTCTAGGTCGGCGTGGTGCTGCACACCTGTAGTCCTAGCACTCGGGAGGCAGAGGCAGGTGGATCTCTGTGAGTTCTAGGCCAGTCTGGTCTACATAGCGAGTTCTAGGGCTGCACAATATGACAGGTCTTAAAAAAAAGAGAGAGGGCCGGGCGTGGTGGCGCACGCCTTTAATCCCAGCACTTGGGAGGCAGAGGCAGGCAGAGCTCTGTGAGTTCAAGGCCAGCCTGGTCTACATAGTGAGTTCTAGGACAGCTGGGGCTACAGGGAGACCCTGTCTCAAAAAGACCCCCCCCCAAAAAAAAGAGAGAGAGAAAAACTGGAGAGATGGCTCAGTGGTTAAGCTGCTCTTGCAGAGGACCCGGGTTTGGTTTCCAGCACCCACATAGCGGCTAACAACTGTCCAGAACTCTGGTTTTAGGGGATCTGATGCCCTTTTCTGACCTCCAAGGGCATTGCACAACACAGGTGCACTTATACACATGCAGGCAATGCATGCATACACATAAAATAAAGAAATAAAATATTTTTTGAAGATGGGAAGGAAAGAAGGACAGAAAACTTCTACTAGGGGAGAGCTAATGCCCTAAATATAGATGAAGTTGCACAAAACAATGGCAGATGCTGTGAGCCTGCTGATAAGTGTGCAAAGGGCCCCAAGAGACAACACCCCATAGAAGAAGCACAGGTCACTAACACACACCTGATCACTGAGGGTGCTGCCATCAAAATAGCTTGCTTACTCCCTTTGTCCAGCGAATTGCAAAAGAAAAAAAAAAAAAAACCTAAAAATGGGGCAAAATAAAAAGTCCCAAATCCTTTCTTTCTGAGACAAGCACCGACCCGACAAAGCACAGCCAGCTGATGCTTGAGGGGTCTGTGGGGCTGGCTGGGGGCAAGAATCGCTTCACCTTTTTAGGGAGCCAAGGCAGCAATGGATGCCAGCGGCCCCACAGGCATTCTTCCTCAGTGGCTTGGCAGTAGCATTCTGGAACTTTGTCCTGAGGAGAGGAACCTTAGTTCTGACCACAAATAATGCCATTGCCGGTGCTGATTTGAAAGCATTGGAGAGAATCAATAGTCTGCGGTAGGAGGTGTCCTGAGTTCTGTCTACACTATGGGCATCGAGATGGAAGGTGCTAGAAAGGCAGGGTCAAGAAAAGAGGTGCATGTGCACACATGTATGTGCATGTGTGTTTGTGTGCAAGTGTGTGTTTATGAGTGTGCATACCTTTGTGTTTGTATGCGCTGGTAATCAAACCCATGGCCTCTCCCCATGCTAAGAAAGTGGGCTACCACTGAGCCCCATCCCCGTCCCTGGAGTTTATGTTTTAAAGGCCTGAAGGAGGGGGCCGGAGAGAAGGTGGCTCATCAGTTAAAGCACTTGCTGCTCCTGAAGACCCAGCTTTGGTTCTCAGTACCCACAGTGGGTGGCTCACAACCACTTGCAAGTCCAGTTGTAAGAGTTTTGACTCCCTCTTCTGGCATCTGAGGGTACCTGCACATATCTGGTTAAGAGCACTGAATGCCCTTGCAGAGGACCTGGGTTTGATTCCCAGTGCCTACCTGGAGGCTAACGACGATCTATAACTCCAGTTCCAGGGGATCCAATGCCCTGTTTTGACCTCCATGGGCATTGCATGACACAGATGCGCTTACATGCAGGCACTATACTTACACATAAAATAAAAATAATAAAATATTTAAAAACAGGTGCAGGTGTGTGCGTGCGCACGTATGCATGCACACACACACATACATAAATAAAAATAAGTACATTTTAAAAGGCCAGAAGGAAATCGATGAGCCTGGAGCCCAGTGGTCTGTGGTCTTTGCTTTGCTTTTCTGGCTCATACCACTTTCCTGAAGTGACCGATAGATCAAATGAGCAGAAAGGTGAGGGGTGGGGGTGGTACCAGGGCCTGCTGGGCTCAGTGGTTTGTGGTCTGGGTCCCCAGACTTTCTCACTTCCTGCCTATAGCAGTGGGCTGGAGGAACAACCCTCCTCTCTTGGAATCCCTTCCCTGTCCTGAGGCTGTATTCTTCCAGAATGGCCCTTGGCCCCTACTCCCAGGTCAGCATCCACCCGCAGCCCCAGCGAAGTGTCCTGGCTTGTGCTGAGACATGCACTGTCCTCACAGCACGTACACCTGGTGGCTTTGCCCTTCCCAGGGCCACCCACAGGCCAGTCACGGCTCCATCCTGCTCTCAAAACTTTGTAGATTTTGATGAGTGTGGCAGAAAGGAGGATGACTGTGCACCAGGGATGTCCTGCCAGAACACCTTCGGGTCTTTCACTTGCATCTGCGCGGGGGGAGCCCCTGAATCGCATGTGGAATATTCTGGAAGACTCTGTGAAGGTAACAATCCCATAATCCTTTACTTAAGGGCTTTTTGTCCAAATGGAGTTGTCATCTTTTTATGTCCTGGACAAGTTTCCTGTGTCTATGTATCTGTGATGTGTATGTGTGCCTGACTCTTCTTTCATATACCCTCAGTAGAGGGGGGCAGCCATCTATGAGCGTGAACAGGGTCTGGGTCAGAGGGATGTGCTGGTCCTGAGGTGAAGTAGGAGGACAAAGGGGAGGCCAAGTTGTTTCAGTGCAGTGTGGTCAGGGAGGGCTTTCCAGAAGGGGTGTGTTGGAGCTGGCCATCAGGGCCAACTAAGGTAGCCTCTGGTCCAAATATGCAGTTGAGGCTGATGAAATTTTGGGATCCTGTGGGAGAGGGTAGCAGAGGGGTGACACAGTGCCCAGGAGCGTGAGGAGGCTTTGAGGTGTGGGGGGTGCCACACAGGCAGCTGGGAGACAGTAGAGGGAGCCCTATGCTGAGAGGAGGCAGGGTGGGGATGGGGGTGGGGGGTCCCAGGCCAGCTGTTGACAAGCCAGTCCTGGAAGGAGGGTATAAGGGTCTGCTGAGTCAAGTCTGGAGGTCTGCATCCACATGGAACAGGAAAGGAGATTTCTGAGGATTGGTGTGTGCGTCAGAAACCTTTACAGGGCTAAGGGCAGTGCGGAAGTGTGAGCTTTGGGGCGGGAAGGAAACCAGGGCAGGAAAAGGGGCCTGAGCTCCTGAGAGGACAGCTCAGGACCCCACTTGGAGATTAGCCCCAGGTCCCATGGAGTAGATGACTTGGCCATGCATAGGCTAGGCATTTCTCTAACCCTTGGGGATGAACTGAAGCCCCGGAGCCTGGGTTGTGCAGTGTCTGCATACTGCCTGGAGCAGGCAGTGCCTGGGTGTGGCTGCCTTAGAGCACAGTGCAGGGCCTCAGCCATTTACCCTGTTCCTTTAGGCTCTAAACAGAGGCCCTGAGCCATTGTCTCCTTGGACCCTGCAGGTGGCTCTCCTGGCAACACAGTTCAAATGCCTGGCCCAGGGCAGCCCACTCTTTTGACAGAGACCTGGGTTGCCCCAGTGCAAGGTACCAGCTCTGTGCCCCAGGACCTGCCCCTGCGGCTGAACCTGACGGACGCAGTTGGGGTGTTCTGTGAGATTGAGAAGGTTGTCATCGCCATTGAGAAGCGCTTCCTGCAGCAGGAGGCCATTCCTGAGGCCTCCCTGTACCTGGGAGAGCCCTCCTGCAATGTGAGCGACAGCAACAGCACCCATGTGCTCCTGGTGGCCAACTGGGGCGAGTGTGGGACCCTCGTGCAGAGTGTGAGTACAGGACAGACCTTGGTGTGGGGAGGGTTTGCATCTGGTGGAGGGACCAGGCAGGATCTGCATACCTAGGTCTCTGACTTTGAGCAAGAGACCCCAGCAGAGGAAGTCAGGCAGATCTAAGTTCTCACACCAGCACCCTAGAATCCAGAGGGGAGTGCCAGCTCCACGCTGCAGGGTTCTGGTGCAAAGGGCCTGGGGTTAGTCTGAGTCGAGGTAAAGAATCCTCTCTGCCCAGGAAAGATGATACAACATGTGGAGTCACGTGGGAATGTTAGTGTATGTGAGTGTGCATGTGTGAATGTTTGTGTATGTGCATGAATATGTCTAAGTATATGTACGAACACATGTATGTTAGTCAGATTTATGAATATATATATATATATATATATATATATATATATAAAATAAAAAAAAAAAAAAAAAAGCCCTGAAAAACACGAAAGAAGAGCAACT